TACTTTCTAGAGCTTATCATCTGTTAGAGCAAGAGGAAGAAGGATGTACCTACCTTGGGGATGAAAATAAGGCCAGCGTGAAGGAAATCACAAAAAGAAAAAAGAAAAAGAAAAAAGAAAGCAGGCATGGCAATAGTAGAAACTATGTTAATAATAGGAAAAGAGGTATGTAAAGTTGAAAGTAGTAATCAATATAGGGGAATCTTGCAATAATAAAGTGATAAATTGAACAAACAGTTTATGAAGAATCTGAAAACCACACAATGAAAACACCCAAAGACCACATAATAGCTAAATATAAAAAGATATATCTATTAGATGTGCAAGGATAAATTACAAAACTACAGTTATGATGGGATACCTTAAAATACCCATTTTTAGAATTATACGAGATTATAAGGGAATTGAATAATGCTATCAACACATTTTCTTGTATAGAGAGAGCAAGACAAAAAGAAAAATTCAGAAACATATATCTCTTGAATGGAGAATATAAAATTTTTTTCTATGTCTATGGAAACTTCACAAAAATAGATGTGTGATTGACCACAAAGCAAATCTTGACAAAATTTTAAAAGCAAGATTTTTACAGACTACTCTCTCTGACCATGTTAAAATAAGAGATAATGAAATAGTGATTTTCTTTTTTCCTCCAACCCCCAACCTACTTGGAAATTAAGAATGCACTCCTGGTTAGCCCATGGACCAAAGACCATATGAAAACTGAAATTACAAACTATCTTTAAAACAGTAAAAAAAATGATGAATATCAAAACCTACAGGACAGCAAAAACTCAGAGAGAAAATTTATAGCCTAAATTCCTTTGATAAGTGGTAAAATAAAAGGGGAAGAGGATGGAAGATATTTGAAACTCCAAAGAAAATTATTGATTTCCAAGCAAAGTAAACATACCAAAATTGATAAAGAAGTACAGACCTAGAGTAAAACAATTATGAGTGAAGAAGTGAAAAAGGTGATTAAAGTTATATCATTAAAAAAAAGCATTGTGAACCCTTGCACATTGCTGGTGGAAATACGAAATGATGCAGGCACTAAGGAAAGGAGTGATGGTTCCTCAAATAATTAGACATAAACCAAATGATTCAGCAATCTCACTTCTAGGTATATACCCCCAAGAAATGAAAGCAGGAGCTCAAAAAGATAGTTGCATACCAATGTTCATAGCAGCATTATTCATAATAGCCAAAAGGTGAAAACAACCCCAAATCCGTCAACAGATCAATGAATAAACTAACTTGGTATATACATACAATGGAATATTATTCAGCCTTGAAAAGGAATGAAGTTCTGATTCATGCTTCAACATGGATGAACCCTGAAAACATTATGCTAAGTTAAATAAGCCAGACATAAAAGATGTATATTGTATAATTCCACTTATATGAAGTACCTAGAATAGGCAAATTCATAGGGACAGAAAGTAAAATAGAGGTTATCAGGGGTTGGAGAAAGGGTAGGATGTGGAGTTATTGTTTAATGGGTACAGAGTTTCTGTTTGTGATGATAAGTTTCTGGAAATGGATAGTGGTGGTGGTTGGCTAACATTGGCGATGTACTTAGCACCATTGAATTGTACATTTAAAAGTGGTTAAAATGATAAATTTTGTTATGTATATTTTTATCACATTAAGAAAAATGTATCATGACCAGTTATTTTCCTGAGTTCTAACTAATCTCAAAAGAACAGCTAGGGCTTCCCTGGTGGCGCAGTGGTTGAGAGTCCGCCTGCCGATGCAGGGGACACGGG